TTTTGGATTTCACTAACACATTTATCAATTTTGATATTACAGTGAGAGTATGAAGCATATATTAATATAAGATAAAATGTTAACTTTTGATTGGGCCGGTGGCCAGTGGTGTGAATTGTGAGACGATGGAGCAACTACTTTAGCCCCGCCACAGGGTCTTTTAACATTGTGTAGAGGTATCGCTGGCGCGGCCTCGTAGAAAGAAATGCCTTTGCTTCCGCTTATCAACCAAAAAGAAATCAACTATTATGAAAAATTACATAGCCCTAGGTAGTGCAATAAGGGCAATTTTGACAATGCATCTATATCATCTAATCTACGTGAATTCATGACATGACATGGCTATTAGCACATAATTATTGATATCTATCGACAGTTCTTCCCTCAATCACCAATTGTATACAAAAATGTTATGGTTTATTAAGCAGATAGAAGCAATTGATTTATGTTGAGCTCACTCTGGTAAAGTTGGGCAAAATTGAAATTCCCACAAATTGATCTGTGTACGATCCTTAAAGGTTAAGTATAAGAATTCTATCTGCAGACAACACTTTTGTTATATCCCATGGGAGCCTCTTACGACGATCCCGATAGAATGAATACATAAGATGCTTTGACAATAAATAATACATAATATTTCATCTGTGGAATGCTGTGGCGCTGTAAAGAAGCTAGACCAATCATCTGAGCCGGCCCGGCTAAAATAACTGGATGGCCTACCTGCCTGTCAGCCCTCCATCTGTGCACAAACTTATCTCGTGCCCTCATTGGTCATGTGTGCGTTCGTGTGTGTTGGAGGAGGGGCTCTGTAAGGAAGTCTGAAGGAAGGTTGTGTACTTTCAGATCCTAGCTTACTCGAGCTGCATGGCTTCTCCATTCTTACCCACCCTATCTTTAACTAAATCATGCACATTTAGGTTCATGACTAAGGTGATCTTTTTCACTTCCACAGACCTCACCTACATACCACAACCTTTGAAAATGTCTGGTTTGGATCAATGAATCAATTCTAAATTGATTTTTGCAGTATGCTAAATGACCTTTGCTTTGTATAACAGTACAAACGTGCAAACAACATAGTTAACTGAAAAGAGGCTAAATACCAAAATTCTTACATTTTTATTTCGATTTCTCTCATTCAAGCATCTGATATTTACATAGCTTATAGCCTACATATCAAACTTTTTCTTTTTTAATATCCATTGACTCCTTTAAACTTAGTAGACCCTCACTTGGAAAAACAAATACTTCATGTCCTTTTGTCATTCATTTTATGTGCTGTAGTCCAATGCATAATTTTAGTTTACATCTCTTCCTATTTTGAAGGGAACTTGTTCCACCCTTTGCCATGTTGTATATGTTGTGGCTCAAGATTAAAGAGAGGACTGATGGATTTTTAGACTGCCAGCCTCACCTGGTGGATCAGACTGAACATTACATGAGTTACAGTAAAGCAAACTTAACATAAAAAGAAAAGAGAAGAAGTCATTAGAACCACAGTGTATTTAACGATAACTGAACTGGTTGGTATCAATTTAACATGCTGTGTCTACTGAGACAACCATGACATAGAAATGTAACAGAATAGCTATCTGTAGATGCATTTTTTTAGAATGATGTTTGTGTTGTTTTAAAGGTGGGGTAGGTAAGTTTCAGAGACCGGATCGAGATACACTTTTTGTTATATTCCATGGAATGCTCTTAACATCCCGATAGCAATGAATATCTTAAGTGCTTTGACAAAAAATCCATTAAAAAATGTCATCTGTGGAACCCGTAATACTGTAAAAATTACAACCAATGGATTGCCGCCCTGTCTGTCAGCCTTCCATCTCGTGCACGCACAAATGTATCTCGTGCCCTCATTGGGCGTGCCGTCATTGGGCGTGCATTGCAGCAGTACTTCAATGACTCGCCAGCCACAGGCGGCCACGTTTCACCATGGCAGAGTTAGGTTCAACATCGTCTACTGGTCGCAAAAGAAAAAATGTAACGGAGCAAATTAAGAACAAAAAGAAAGTGGAAACTAGGAGAAGTCAAACCAGAGTTGCTTTGGCTGTGTAGTATTGCTAACCTAGATGTGTTTAGCTTTGCCTGATATGTAACGTTACTGCAGCCTGCTCTCTCGAGGAGGTGCTCTGTAAGGAAGTCTGAAGGAAGGGGCGGATTCTTTTTGGTTGTGTACTTTCAAATTTTAGTGCACTCGAGCCGGTTTCTGAAACTTACCTACCCCACCTTTAAGTTATTTCTCCCACAATACAAGCACTACAACTTTGACATAAATGTGCTCTAAAATTGGCAAGAATAAAGGTCAAATGTAATGTGACCCACTTGGTCCTCCTGGGACAAACACATGTTCACCGGCGAAAAAGAATGTTAAAGGAAACTGCCGCACGGTTCCCTCGTCCCTTGGAAGAGGTGGAGAGGTGGGTGTTTTTCATCTGCTGGTGGACTATCGGAGAGAATTAGCAGGAGCACACGCCGTCCACCGCGGAGAATAAACAGAAGGGCCACCATGGCAATCATGCTCCGGGGTCTTCTTCGCTGCTTTTGGTGTATTTTGTGGCGGCAGCAGCGCCACTTACAGGCCCGGCATATGTACTACAGCGTTTCCAGCGGTCGCGTGTGAACGGACACGTTAATTGAGCCGAATGCGTGAACAGACTTTTTTGAAAACGCACATACGGTGCGTAAACGCAAACGTTCACGTGTAAATGGGATCTAACTGCCAACAAGAGCAATTGCTGTGTGTTTCAACACTGTCAGCTATTCTCACAATCATGAACACTGAGCAAATAATTGCTTTATAGATTAAGTGTGATAACCATGACACATTTAAATCTAATGCACACTAAGTAGATTCAACTCAGGTACCTGTTCAATAATTGAAAAATTACATTGAGTTATTTTCAAACACACCTTTTCAGTATTGAGAACAAGTTTATTACCAAAACAGGAATTACGTTATACTATCTACTGCAGTAGAACAAATGTTGCATTAAAGGGATGATGATGTCTTCATTATTATCTCTCATGTCTTGTCTGACAAAGATACTATGGAAGTATAGGATGAATTGTTTCTGGAGCTGGATCTACAGGAATTAGAAGTCAAAATCTGTGCCTCTACTTCAATTATTACTATGCATTTAAACAAGTAGTTTTTTATATTTTCCACTAGAGTGCAGCACTCAATTGAGCAAATGAACTTAATAAAAGTAAATCCAAAATGGCACTTATACGTTTTAGACTTGTTTATTATCTAAATGTATGATTGTAAATAAGGTTTAGTTTGAATAATTTATGACTAAATACACATCAGAGGGACTGATTGGTACAGCCAAAGGAGTAAAATTAGTACCAAGCAACAGCTCATCATTTATATAAAACTCAACAGCTATGATGACTCATGCATCTTTATTTGTGCAGCACTCTTGAATGACACAGTAATAACTGGATCCATTTAAATAATTGAAATAGCTATGTGTCAGACATCGGATTCCTGTTATTGTTTTATTTATTTTTTCAGAATTTGTGTCATGCAGCCTCCCCATGCCACACACACACACACACACACACACACACACACACACACACACACACACACACACACACACACACACACACACACACGCTGAGTGATTTACTTCATCTTGCCCTCCTACTTTTCACATAATGATAAGTCTGTAGTGCAGCACTGTGTTTTTCAACCCAGTATGAATCCATGAGGGGTGTATAATGCATATTTGATCACACTCAAAACATTACAAAAAATGCAAATTATTGTATATTAGTTTTAAGTGAGAGGTAAACAAACAAAACAACACGTGGTGGAGGGAAAACAAGTCAACCCAGGCTACTGAGGGTCAGTGGAGCGAGATTTGTGTGACTTTAAAGTGGATCAGTGTTTTGTAATGAATGTTTTTTCCCTGCCGGTGCCTGTCTATTATTAGATGTGGAGGCCTACAGTAAGTGGAGGTGGATCCAGGACGGCAGGGCTGCAGCTCTGCTAGGCACCGACAGGCTTCAGATCAGCGTTGTATTTTTAGGAATGCAATTGGAATTATCGTGCTGATCCAGGGGGAAGTTTGCTGGTCCGACCGCCTCTTTTTCAAGCCTGGTTTACCTTGCCTTTAAGATGAAGTTAAATACGAGCTGCAGACAGGTGCAAGCCGCATCCGATGGAGCCCTCCTTTTCATCTCGTTCATCGGCCAACCCGATGCCTCACTTCCTTATGTTGCGGTAAGAGGGACGCTTCCCATTCTCTGCTAAAGGAAAACTGGGTTTATTTTGTATCTCTGTGGGGTTTTTCTGCATGCAATGAACGCAGAGCCAGATAAACAGGCTCAAGAGTCAGTGACGGGGTGTTACATAAGGTGTAATGCAGCACAGCCTCATGACTAGTGTCTCGGTGGTGGTGGGACTGCTCGGTCCTTCTGGTAGGATATGCATTCTTTTATCATCTTTGCTGTGGATGATAACTGAGGCTGCAATATTATTTAATGCTATTTTACTCTGGAGGATAGTGCTAAGGCGATGGGTTATTTTCAGTATCTGACCGTATAAAAAATGTTGAATTAATTCGGGAGTTGCGCAGTGTAGACGAACCTTAAAGGGTATATGAATGAGCAACATTAGAGGCGGTGTATCTCTATAATGTCATGCACGCCCAGCCTAAGGTCAGATGTTTTGTAAATAAATGCAGCTAGCTTGCAGATTATGCAGTCAATGAATGGCTGATTTTATGAATGGCTGCATAATGACCGTCAGGCTGAAATCCTAGTAAACCATAGTAATCTATAGGGCGTTGTATACAAGGAAAGGCTACATTAAAATAGTCTAAATACTGCAAGAAAGAAGACATATTATATCCTGATTTTCATCCTAGAGAGGAATCTGTAGTGTGCAGGTGACCAAAAGTGATGCTTCAGGGAGTGGGCCAGTTATTTCTTTACAGCAGGTCCTTTGGGGTGGAGGCAGGCACAGGAAGCATCTGACCTCATTCACAACAAGGTAACATTAACTGAAAAACTAAATGTGAATGACTCCATTGAAAAAAGCCTGGTATTCCCAGTGGAGGGAGACTTTCAAAGGGAAAGATGCTAGGACAAAACATAGATGGTGGTCTGACAGTTGAGCATGCATGTGTAGAGTATACAGAGATCTGGTCAATGATATGACATGACAGTGAACATAATTTTATGTTATGTGTGTTGTGGTGACTCATGTTGGATCTAAAAAAAAGCAACAGCACTAGCATGACACTAGCCTATGAAAACAGTTTTACAGTAACTGTGATGTTTGAGCTTTTTTGATAAAAATGTCATGATCAGTGTGATGGATTGAGGGCAGTTTGATATAAACTGTGACACACAGAGACACAGGCTACAGTTCCCTTGGAAACCAGTCGTTCAGCTAAATCATCAGCAACAAAAATGTGTGTGTTTACCTATTTCCTCCATTTCATTAAATGAAAGTGAGTTTGTGAATGTCATATTTATTTAACTTAGGGTTATGAATGAGGGCTGTGATGGGTGAACGTAAGGTTGTTTGGATTCTTATGTAAGAACCGTACACAGGGGAAGGTATTTTAGGCTTGCAGATGGTTGATGGGATTACATCAGCCTTTATTAACCCTCAGTGGACAAACCAAACAGTTTATTTATTTGAATTGGGTTGTTGTTTTAAAGCTGAACATCCTTTCCTTTATATTTCAACTAAGATTAGGAAAAATGGCATATTATTTTTACACTATGGGCGTGTTGCAACCATTATGGATACAAAATCTGCCTCTTTTTTTTTAGCTTGTCCCTTTAAATTTTCTCTATATCAGCAGCCAGGACAGGGAACTTGTGAATGGGCTCTGGGAAGTCACGGGACCGTCCATTGATAGCTCTGCAGGCAGAAGGAGCGGAGCACATAAGGAGTAGACACAGTGTCTATTATCCATATTGATCCATGTTCCTGTACTGTTCAGGACAATAGTTTAGGATTTCAGGTGCTGATGCGGTTTTCTGGCCTCCTTTGTTTTTTGACAGGTCCCAGCTGAAAGATTCTGATATGGACTATGAGAGGCCAAACGTTGAGACTATCAAGTGTGTTGTGGTGGGAGACAATGCAGTCGGAAAGACCCGCCTCATCTGCGCCCGGGCCTGCAATGCTACGCTGACTCAGTACCAGTTACTCGCTACACATGTGCCCACAGTATGGGCCATCGACCAGTACAGAGTATGCCAGGAGGTAAGTATGCAAAGTAATTACTCATAAGATTGCATGGATGTGCTTTTTCAGGATTTAAATCTCTGATTGCTCAACTAAACTAAATCTATAAAGGAATAAAATACTAAAGGCGCCTCATTTGCACATTAAGCTGTTAGCATTCACACCAGTGACTTACAGAGATTAAAAGTCCTTGAATGTGTAATCTCTAATTAGGTATTAGAGCGCTCCAGAGATGTGGTGGATGATGTCAGCGTGTCCCTTCGTCTCTGGGATACTTTTGGAGACCATCATAAGGACCGGCGTTTCGCTTACGGAAGGTGAGATATTGTGAAATTCCATGTTAATCTGCCACTAAGTGCTCTGGTGCTTCCTGAGTTTAGTGAATTTGTCCCGTGTCTTTCCTTCAGGTCTGATGTGGTGGTATTGTGCTTCTCAATTGCCAACCCCAACTCTCTTTACCATGTGAAGACCATGTGGTACCCTGAGATCAAGCACTTCTGTCCCCGTGCTCCTGTCATCTTGGTGGGCTGTCAGCTGGACCTGCGCTATGCAGACCTGGACGCAGTGAACAGGGCACGGAGGCCTTTAGCTAGGTAGAGGGATTCATTTTTAAGAGATTGTTTGAGGTCTACCCTTCTTAATGGCAGAATGGTATTTGATAAATGTTCTTGTTTGCAGACCCATTAAATCCAATGAGATTCTTGCTCCAGAGAGAGGCCGGGAGGTGGCCAAAGAGCTGGGAGTGCCATATTATGAAACTAGTGTTGTTGCTCAATTTGGAGTCAAGGACGTCTTTGATAATGCTATCCGAGCTGCGCTCATCTCGCGCCGACACCTGCAGTTTTGGAAATCCCACCTGAGAAATGTACAGCGGCCTCTCCTTCAGGCACCCTTCCTGCCACCGAAACCTCCCCCACCTATAATCACTGTGCCTCCTCCCCCCACCACCACAGAGGAGCATCCGGTCGGTCTCCTCGAGGACCCACACTGTGCTGACGTCATCCTGATCCTGCAGGAGCGACAGAAAATCTTTGCACACAAGATATACTTGTCGACATCGTCTTCAAAGTTCTATGACCTCTTTATCATGGACGCACATAGTGAGGAGACTGAAAGGCCCTCTCGTGGTCCTCTCTCCGGAAGAGAGCTGCTGATGCGTGCTGCTAGCTTTGATGTTTGCGAAAGCAGTGACGATGGAGACAGGGCCAACCTGAGGGCCTGCACTAGTGATGGGACGTTAAAAGATTTCGACGCAGGGCGACGGGGCAGACTCCTCTCTTCGTGGAGCCGAGCCTTCGCCAGCATCCAGGAGGAGGTGGTGGACGACCCCGTCTCATACAGCCCCAGGCCCATAACTGTGGTGCACATGGACCAGTCCATGCAGCTCGGGCCTTTCCGAGCAGTGCTTCGCTACCTGTACACAGGTCAGCTGGACGAGAATGAGAAGGAGCTAATGCACATTGCACACATTGCTGAGCTGCTGGAGGTCTTTGACCTGCGGATGATGGTGGCAAACATACTAAACAATGAAGCCTTCATGAACCAAGAAATCACCAAAGCCTTCCATGTACGCCGCACAAACAGAGTCAAAGAGTGCTTGGCCAAAGGGACTTTTTCTGGTGAGTGGAAATATTTAACACTTATTTGTTTAGCCTAAAATAGAACACAGGTGTTATCTTTGTCTCATCTCTTTATTACAGATGTAGTATTCAAGCTAGATGATGGGACCATCAAGGCCCACAAACCTTTGCTCATCTCTAGTTGTGATTGGATGGCAGCTATGTTTGGTGGGCCTTTTGTGGAGAGCTGCACAAAAGAGGTAAGTCAACATGCATCACTTTGTTCAGCTGTGAAAAAAGACAAACAGAACTAGAGTACAGACCAAAGTCAGTGCTGGATAGAAAATGTTTCCATGTTTCTTGTAATTTTCCATGGCATTCTTATTGCAAGTCGATTTATAAAGTTGAAGCATGTAAATGTAATTATTTCTTGATTGACAAAACACAGCAGTCCAGCAGCGATCATTACTGACCCATGAAGAGCACCTGTGATGTATTTGGTCTGTTTACAAAATGTAATTCAATTAGAGGATTGCAAGTCTGATGTAATACAATTAAGTCAGCAAACATGTTGTTGTTCTGTCCGCTCAGTTTGTCTACCTAACATAAAATAATATTACGAACATTTTTCACTTACCTTTGTAGATAGTTAAGACACGTTCATTTCAAATGATCAAAAATCATATGGTTCCTAAAATATTTTTTCATTTTCAACCAATACTGTATGTAAACACAATATGTTTTTCTTTCTTTATTCGTGGCTATTCTAACTGCTCATGTATTAAAAAATGAACCAAGATTTTGTAAATAACTATATTTTGTTATACATATTACCATTACATCATATAAATATAAGAGTGTAAACTACATTTATTCTCTGTTACCTATTAAATGCAAAATACAGTAAAATGCTCGGTCATGGATGGGTCACATGTTCCTGTTTCTAAGGTGCTGTTTCCAAACACAACCCGCAGCTGTATGAGGGCCGTGCTGGAGTATCTCTATACGGGGCGGTTTTGTTCTCGGACTGACTTGGATGCAATGGAGCTCATTGTTCTCGCCAATCGTCTTTGCCTCCCCCACCTGGTTGCACTTACAGGTAGTACATTTGATATAGTTATTACCCTCAGGATTGTATTACACAAAGCCATTGTGGTAATGCATACAGTGACCAGCCTTTCATGTTTCTTTCAGAGCTCTACACAGTTACAGTCTTGACAGAGGCTGGGATGATTGGGGCTGACATTGATGGAGACGTGCTGGTGTACTTGGACATGGCCCAGGTAGCGTGACCTGTCAATCAGCAGGAAACAAGGCTGCACTTAAAGCTCTTATATCATTATTTGGCCAATTGGGATTTGATTCACGGCATTTCTCAGAGAGAGCTGCGCTGAAGGTTGGCATAATGTTTACTCCTCAAAGGTGGAGCCAAAAAAGCTATGTTTCTCAGAGTGCAAGTCAGCTCTCAGGCAGAATGAATGGCACAGGATCTTTGGGCCAGTGGGCATTTTGGATATACCGAGTCAGGCTCAGCACTGAATGATTCATTTAATCATTCAGCTGTATTTTAAGTTTAGCTTCAGCACTTCAGCTGATTATCATCTTGGCAAAGATGCTCATGAGCCACATGTTTATTTGATTTGATATGCACCACTAAAGCACAAACATTACATACAATTGAAGAAGGTGTTTTTTGTGCATTTCTATCTAATCTTGAAGCATTGTCTTATAGAAGAACCATATATATACTCATATGACATACTTATTGGGAATAAATTAGCATGCTAATGTTAGTATGAAGGTTAAAGTCTACGGGCGTGTGGTGCAGTGGGTTGAGCGTTGGTGTTCGAAAGGTTTAAACCCCACTGCAGTCAGCATGTCGTTGTGTCCCTGAGACACTTCACCACAAACTGCTCCTGTGGGGATTGCCCACAGTATTGAGTATGTAAGTGGCTTTGAATAAAAGCGTCTAACAAGTGACATGTAATGTATAGGTGAAACTCCAGTGCAGCAATAAAGAGATGAGCAATACCTGAAATGTATTAAATACAGCTAACAAAGACCATCTTAAATGTACAGATACATAAATGAATAATAATAATAATAATTGGTATGTTGACAGTTCCACGGCGCCCAACAGCTCACTGGCTGGTGTCTTCACCACATCTGCACCAACTACAACAGTGTCTGTCGCAAGTTTCCCCGAGAGATGAAGTCCAAGTCTACAGGTAACATGCATGTAATCTGGCAACACACATTTAGATTACATTTTGACCCTCAGGTATATATTACTTTTTATGTTCAAAAGTATTTGTATAAATGTATAAATGTATCCTCTGTAATGCCTTTCTAGCAAAATTGTTGTTGTAAGATGTATGCAAATATCAATAAGATCTATTTTACATGTGCTGCAATTAGTTTTCTTGACAATGTTGGACTAACCATTGTGGTAAATGAGATATTGAAAATGGGCAATTGAAATGCCTAGATATCTTTTTGAGATTCCTAAGTCAGTGTATTCTGATGCAGACAACCAAGAATATTTTGAGAAACATCGCTGGCCACCAGTGTGGTTCCTGAAAGAGGACGACCACTACCAAAGAGCCCGCAAAGAGCGCGACAAGGAGGACTACCTGTACCAGAGACGGCAGTGTAAACGCAAGTGGCTCTTCTGGAACGTTCCTTCCTCTCCTAACTCACACTCTCCTTCTTCTGGCTCCTCCGCTGTCATCTGACCACGTGGGTAAGGCCAGGTCCACTCTGAAGTACATCAGTGTGGATGCGGGTTGTAAAAGTATTAATAGAAGATAAGCACTGCTGGCTAGCTACGCCCCAATTATTCAGGCACTCAGTCTCTCCTCCCGTTTGTTTGCCGCTGCAGTCTAACAGCACTCCTCCCGATCTGCAAGGTCAGCCCAATCTAGCGGTGAAAGTAATGAGTTTTGTTCCTTTAGATTTTTAGACTCGGTGATATGAATCTCGTTGACAAATGGCACAGTGTAACTGGCGCAAATAACAACTCATACTGACTGTTCCACCACCTGAGATTTACGTTTGAAAACAGGACTCTGGTGGCACAGAACTTTCCACAGATGTTCATAACCATCATCAACCAACCTGAACTGATAACTAAGTGCTGCTTATCAGCTGCAACAACCAGCAAACCAACACAGAACTCCTCCGTCTCAGCGATATAACGCTTTGCCCTTAAGTGTTTGTACAATCTACCAAACTATGTGTATAGTATGATCTTACCAACAGGATGTAAGGATAGTATGGTCTGACAGGAATGAATTATTGAAGTCATTCACTCCAACCATGCTGATTATGACCGTGTAAGCATAAAGGAAAAATACTGGCAAGCTGCTCCTGTTCATTTGTGTACAGTCATTGTATCTGATTTTTGTGCACGGCTTGCACAGCTTAAAATGCGGTGAATATAGATCAGCATTCACGTATTGTGATCTTGGGATTTGTGGCTTCTTGTCAAACAAAGAGGCTTTAGTTTACATGAATGATTCAGTGTCCTGAGACACAAGAGATCCCGAATCAAGCAAGCATAGGTCATTTCTGTAAAATGCCAGCAATTACAGACCAGGTCGCTATTATTTCCTATGCTTGCTGCTGCTTTCTAGCACACATTTCTTCGGTTTCACATTGAATGATTCCATCAGCTTGATCACTGTCATACTGGAAAGCAACACATAATGCATCTCTGGGCCAATGGCAGCATTTCCGGAGCTGAAAACACCACATGTTCATCGTGTACATCATCCCTCTGTGATGGTGTGTATGACATGTCACTGCTGGTGATTTGGCTTTTGGAGATTTCCTTTCTTAGTGGATCAGAGGATGCCCGCTGAATGCCTGCAGTTGGCTGTGTCAGACTTGTGCATGCAGGAGGCTTCCTCATGTCATGGTGCAGTAATCCATACTCTTCTGCACACGCCAAGCACTTTGTCCGACTCTTCTCCACAGAGACACACACAAGACCCTCCAGTGGCAGCATCCTGGTGAACGGCACCTAAAGACAGTATGGTGACATGACACACTGCTGCAAATTTAAAAAAGGGAACTTGGGAGGATACCAAACCATGATATTTAAAATGTTTAAAAAAAGAGGTTGTGAGGAGTTTGAAAACAAATCATGTTTCTTGACCTGCTTGGCACACCTCACAGTACGTGTTCAAGATTGTCATCTACTGTTGATTATACCTGAATGTAGGATGCTCTGCAGTGTTAAGCATAGTGCTCAGTAATGAGTAGTATTGTAAATTGTACAACATATTAGACCAACTGCAAGTAACTTGCATAACTCAAATGTGCTGTTATTTAATATTGTGCACTGCAGGCAGTGAGCAGAATTGTACAGTATCACTGAGTTATACATATACTAAATATAGACTTGACTTGCATTCAGTTACTGTGCAGCTACAAACGGTTGCTGAAAATAAGTGGATTCCCATTGTGCTGACTTCCTGATACATCGGTTATATAATGTAGGTGTATTACAGGCAGTTTAAATGACTTATAGTAAACTAGGATTACAGTGAAAAATAAAGTAGAACAAATGTATAATATAAAGACTTACGGCACATCCATAAAACATGCCATTGTTATTAAAAGCAAAAGAGTATATTCTGATGGCAGCATATATTAAAAGAAAGGTTTTCTTTAAACCTGCATATGATTGGTTAGACTTCTCCATACAGTTTTTTGACTACCAAAATGTAGAGCCCAACAAAGAGTTTAAAATGATTCAGTGTTACGAATCAATTCATAAAATATATTTCTTCCTAATAACTGCACTGCATGAACAAGACTCACCAAAATAGATGAAGTGTATTCCTTGTCATTTAAAGTGTAAGATATAGAGTAGTGGTGTTAGTGCTCCAAGCAGTAGCTTTAAATTGTTCTCAATTACATTAACTGTTGTCTATAGCTAATTAAAGATAAAAGCTGTCATTTTAAACATCTGGATTGATTAAATATTTTTGGCACACATGGTCAGACATTAGAGTGAAGGGTGAACTTAATTTAGAGCCAGCTTTCGAATTAAGAATGTTTTAATTGTCTTATGATAAAACTGTCACACAAAATACACTTTATTTTTATAGTTTAACAGCAGGAGGGTCTATATATTGTTATAATTTGCTGCTGTAAGTGATACATTTCATAAACATGCATTTCATTCCTCAGTGCATTGCTTTTCTTAATGAGTCTTCTGCTGATGTTTAGCATCAACGACACCTCATGCCTTAATGTACAGTATAGTGTATGGTATTGAATGTAAAGTAGTGTTACTTTGAGAGTGTTACTTTGTCCTCTGTGTTCAGTTACCAGGGTGCTCTCTAGGTTGTGTGTGTGTACCTGTAAATGTACATAATCCATCATTTGGATGTAAAAGGAATCGATGTACGATCAATTCGATGAGTGTGCTTTACTTTGAACACTGCGGAGGGTTTATGTCCTTTTTTAAACACCAAACTAATGTAACACTCTGACCATGAAGGCAACACTAGACTGACATAATGACAAACCATTAATTTGTGACATTACTCATGAAATGTTTGCAGGGATTTCCAATCTTTTACATTATTTTAACTTTGCTTTATGCTAATGATCTCCAACTTTGGGGTCTGCATAATTACAAACTGCTTCGACAGGGTGGTCATTGGAAATTAGATTGTCACTCAAACATGTAAATAGCAAATGTGTGATGACTTGCAATTCAACTTTGGCCTAGCAATTGATATAAGCTATTGCATAATTTAACATATAATGTTTTTTGTACTATGCATACTGAAATGACTTTGAAATTACAAACTTGCACTGCTTTGTAGCACCAGGTTCTACTCAAATTGCATTAGATGGTATAGCAACATCATTATTAGATATGTAGACAACATCAGGTAAAAAAAATTAGATCGTAAATTACAAAGAAGTTGTCACTGGGGTCCTTTTCCATGTTTGGGTGCTAATTTCACCGCTGCAAAGAAGCACAAACCAAAGGGAGCTTTAGCAGCACCAGGAATATATTAAATATGCTGCACAATCACTACTGCATAGTTTAAGAGGCCTTGTTCAGAAATGGTTGAAAAATTAAATTAAAAAACATACGATAAATCAAAAGAAAAAAACTTGAATGTTTTCTCAGTGTTCAAAGCCTGGATGACGTTTTCCTTAGTCGTCAGGTATCTTTGTTCTCAAGAGCTGTTTTTATTGTTTAGAAGCTGTAAATCTGAGACTCTGTAGCATGTGTTCTTGAAAATGTGTAAATAATATTTACTAAATAAAAAGAAGCAACGTGTGCATTCGCGTCAGTCTTTTCAGCAGTGGTGTAAAAAACAAAGGAGATTTACTCAAGTACTGTACTTAAGTACATTTTGAGCAGCCTACTTGTACTTTAAGTATTTACATTTTTGCAAGTTTGTACTTCTAGTCTACTACAATTCAGAGGTAAATAGTGTACTTTTACTCCACTACATTTATAAATACCTTTAGTTATATCACATATTTGGATAAATAATGTGAGACATAATCAACACTTAAAGGTGACCCATCATGCAAAATGCACTTTTGTATGTCTTTTATACATGAATATGTGTCTCCGGTGTTCCAGGGAACTCACCAAGTGTCAGAAAACACAACCCTCTCTATTTTCCTCGATACCCAAATCTCTTAAAAAGGGGTTGCAACGGATCTGATACAGGCTGATCCAGATTTGAACACTTCTGTGACGTCACAGAAGTGGCGCTACGGCTATTGGGCCAACTCCACCAATCAGGAGGAGACAGCCACGGACATTGCCGCTCGAAAGCGCTGGAGACGCTGTAGTACATATGCCAGGCCTGTAGATGGTGCTGTTCTCACAGAATCAGCCCATGCAAAGAAAGTGTTAAATTGAGCAAAATGAGGAATGGCTAAAATGCATGATCTGTTTGGTATTTTGAAAAATAAACAGTATAAATATGCCTTATATAGGTATGGTCCTACACTATATTATTCAAATATAGCATGATAGGTCTTAGTCTTGTCCAGGTCTTTAGTTACACCTGGAGTAAATTCACAAGCTACCCTGCACCTTTACCAGCTTTGATAACACTTTAATGCATCAATAATTATAATCAAAACATGTAATATACTTTTCTAAAATTGTCTAATCTGCATAATGAGTATACTTTTGGTAATTTAAGTGGATTATGATACTTTTGTACTTTCATTTGAGTAACTATGATTGCAGGACTTTTACTTCTGACATAGTATTCCTACACTCAGGTACGTCGTCTACTTTTACTTAAGAACAAGATCTGAGTAGGCCTACTTCCTTCACCTCTTTTAGCTGTGTCATATGAAACTTGTGCAGCCTCACAGACGCAGCTGCGCATGAACCAGAGGAAGACACCTGCAAAAAACGCAAGTGGACAACTCCTGAGAAATGGTAATGTTCATAACAAATTCATGTAGCTGAACTATGAAAACTGCAAGACTGAATATATTTAATGTCTGCTCGCTATCTTAACGTACACTTCCTAAATTGTACCATCTGTGTGTCGACCATAGACTGGTGTCGACGTGTAAAGCGCGTGACACTGCATACATATAAACAAGCTAAAACAAGTGCAGGCTAACTTTAAGCTAATGTGCTACTTCTAAAAATGTCTTCCCAAGTTAAATGAGAGCGTTGTGTCTTGTCAGTGCAACCATACTGTAGATAAGTTGGTTAAAAATAAACCATGTAGTCAAGCGTTGCCATAAACCGAATGTTGTTAAATAACGCATTAACAGCACAATGCATTATTTTTTGCAGTGTGCTGCGTTTCTCCTTAATTTAAAGTAAAACAGGAACTCGTGACACACATTTACATATGGTAATTTAGTAGGGACATTGTCTAATTGGCTCCATTTCTGTTAAGTAAACCAGGATTCCTCTCATCACGTTTGCTGCAGCTGTCGTCTAGACTTCATTTGTCTGTGGTTCAGACTCCAGTCAGTTAGGTTTAGGCAGGGACAGGTGTGTAAATAAGACACTGCACACTAGGTGTGATACAGTTAATCATTTTTATTTAAGCTGTATATTGTTCTACAAAAAATACAGCTTCTCAAATGTCTCTTTGACATACTGTATAAGATATTATACTCAAGTGCACACATTATTTATTAGATTGAACAGAGTAACATCAACACATTTTGGAAAATATACTAAACATGTGTCACTTAATTAACTAAGTAATTAACAAGATGGTTGATAAATAGGATCAATTGTAACAATGTATATGTACGGTTTAGGGACTAGTCTAACAGGTTAAGTGTGTAAATAAGCTAACTGGCCAAGACTGCAAAATAGGTGAAATGTAGTTTGTATAATTCATATAGGATTTAAAGGTCCCATGTCATGCTTTTCCGGTTATTACCCGTCCCCTTGTGTGTTATGTAGCTTTTTCTGCATGTAAACAGTCTGCAAAGTCACAAACCCTCAAAGTACACCCTGTAGCGATGTCTCGCTGTCTCACAGACCCCACGCAGCAACCAGGAAATGACCCAGCTCACACTGTCCGCTCCTCACAGCGGCGAGCCGCTCAACGTCCCGCCAACACGGCACCCAGACCCCATGCAGCATTCTCATCTGTTTGTCATTACTGGTGTCATTTTCTGGTTGCTAACGCCATTGTAACACATAATCACTGATGTTCCGCTGTAACGGTGGTGGACTCATCAGAACAGAGTGGGCGAGCTGACCAATCAGAGCGCAGTGGGCTCATAGGGAGGGGGGGGCAGGAGCTCCAACAAGCCGTGTAGGACAGAGAGTGAATACACATACTATACAGAGATGCTGTATGAGAAAAAATTATTTTATATCAGACTGACATTGTTTCGGTCAGACAGGTTGAGTTCACATTTCCTCCAGACACGCAGGTGCGTAGCGACTGTCGATCAACACTTCTTACATAAATGTTGAACAGTAAAATACTTACTCATTGTACAGTCAGTAGAAAGAGTTTGTCTTGTAAGCAACTATATAATCGAGCGATTTATTTTTTAATACAAGTTACACTCCTTCTATTGAAACTGACTTTACGGGAAGAATGATGTCGAAAATAAATTTCGTACGACACTCAGATATAATCCTACGATCTTTGACATGGGGTACTAGTTTTAGCCATTTAGCCCTCTCGGACCGCTTACTTATAGCTATTAAAACCAACGTTTTTTCGGTCTTTTTTTTTTTTGTATTTATTATTATTTATATATATTTATTTTAGCTTTAATTTTTTTTTACTAATACCTCTTGACATGCTTATAGCTTATTTAGCTTCATTAAGCGCACGTAGGACTCAGATATACAGATTTATCAGTTCTGTTTAAGGGATTTTGACGGGACCCCCTTTTTATACACAAGAATTTACACCATACATAAAGATAGGCTGTTGTTTTACCATAAAATTATGTATATGGTACTATATTTGTTTTCGTTCTGTGATCGACAAATTCTTGAACCTCGTATGATCCCTGGTATCATGTGCGTAAAGCGCAATTCAGGTACAGTACGGTAAGATGACTAGTATTAAGGTAACAACTCCACGATGATCTTATGCTAAATGATAACAATTACAAGGTC